GACCCACAGCCCAGCCCTGCGGCCCTCCAGAGTCCCGACGTGGGCATCTTCAGCCCCTGGACTGTGGGTTCCCAGGGAGGCGGGGTCCCTGGGGCGAGGGCACAGGGTAGAACGTGCCATTGTGGGAAGGTGTGTTTGAAGCGTGTACCGCCCCCTCCCAAGTGGCCACACGCAGCCAGATGATTTTGCTGCACTCTACATATGCACATGTCTACACATGTCAGCCGTCACAGACTACACATCAGCACATGTTTTGAGCACCTACTGTATGCCAAGCACGAATGATTAAGGCTTGTTTCCCGATTTGAAGGCTCTGGGTACCCAGTCTTCGGTGGGAAGAGGTGGCACCAAGCGAGGGGGTGGGGACACAGGAGCCAGCCGATCTTGGGGGTAGAAGTGTGCAGTAGGCCCACAAGGGAGGCCCTGAGGGGTGGGGTTCTCTGGGGGATGCCGCCCCCTCAGCTTCCCCTCTCCCCACAGACGGTTCTACGACTCCGGCGCCATCATGCTGCGAGAGGAAGCCACCGTCCTCACCGGCATGCTGATCGGACTGAGCGCCATCGACTTCAGGTGGGGCTGCGTGGTGGGCGGTGGGAGGAGCTGTTCCCCCACGCAAGTGCGCACCCCTAGCCCCTCACGCCCGCCCCAACCCTGCGGCTCGTCTGCCCAGCTTCTGTCTAAAGGGCGAAGTCCTGGACGGGAAGACCCCGGTCGTCATCGACTACACGCCCTACCTGAAGTTCACCCAGAGGTGAGCAGCCCGGCGACTGCGGCGGGTGCGGGGTGGGGCGGGGCATCCCGGCCCCACCGCCCCGGGGGCTGGTGTGGGACGCGCGAGAGGGCAGGCCCGGTGCCCACCGCCCGGGTCCGCAGCTACGACTACCTGACGGACGAGGAGGAGCGGCACAGCGCCGAGAGCAGCACGAGCGAGGACAACTCGCCCGAGCACCCGTACCTGCCTCTGGTCACCGACGAGGACAGCTGGTACAGCAAGTGGCACAAGATGGAACAGAAGTTCCGCATCGTCTACGCGCAGAAGGTGCG